ACAGCCTATAAATACACAGAGGGACACTCGGAATTCACACACAGGTGGGAGACACAGCTGGACCTGATTAACCTGACGAGACAGGGGAATACTAACACCAGGGACCAACAGAGGGAGCACAACCCAGAAACCCAGTATCTAAAATCCCAAAACACAAACCATCCCAAAACAGCTCACACAATAATAATGAAAATAATAACAATAAATACACCAAACACAAAATCAGTCACGGACTCAGGATCATGACAGGTACAGTCTAATGATTTGATCGCACTCTGTTCTGTGGAGGGTCTCAGTCATCCAGATAATGGTAGTCTTAAGAAAAAGAAAGGCAACGGGACTTGTGGAGAGACGCAGGCATAGGAGGTGGTCCTGAGAGTCACTGACCTACTATTGATCATATGAGTCATTGCATGAGCTAAAGTGTGGACATGATTATTGAGGTCTTTATTGTCACCGGGGGGTTAAGGGTGAAACCTCTGTGAAACCTTTTCCCAACCCATCATGTGACCTATTGAGGTACTGGGAAGGGATCTCAAGACTACATTATAGGCAGTTGATAGCTGGTGTTGTAAGCCATCACCTCTGTCCAAAGATGGTTATTCACAGCGGACAGAGATGTCTCCTTTACTTTTCTTTCAAACCATCCGTCTTCTCAGTCCAAAATGTGAACATCCTCAGAAGAGTGTCCTTTAGGAGCAGTTGTACAGCATCTGCATGAGCCGTTTTTTGTCTAAGTGCGCTCAGATGTCATGCTTGGAGAAAGTTCTGAATGAGTTTCTCTGAGGAACCTTATGCAAACCTTCTCCTTTGTTGGTGTTTGACCTTCTTTCCCGTGTAACATCAAGAATGATCAATCGCACAGCTTTTGTTTCGGTTTGCATGTATGAATTGATCGTAACGTAACTGTTGTCTTTGTGTAAAGGTGGGAGATGGCTGACTTTTTTGAGTCAGTTCTTCAGGACAATTGCTAAGCTCAGTATTTCTTATATAGTCATTGTTTCTAGAAGTTACATCTTTTTTCTCTGCATTGTTCTGATTTCTTATATAGCAAACACTGCAGGTTTTAATTAAATGAGATGATGTCTGTTACAGTGTCTTTCAAATGCCCAAGGAGGACATCCAATACAGGTTTTGAGAGTTTGATGAGTTTGCATTGGTTTTTAAGAATATACTGCTATAATACTGTGTTGTAAAAGTGAGCAAAGATGTCAGTGAAAATATTTTAAACATAAAATCAGTAACGTTTTAACAACTACAGGTCAAAGGGGAAAAATTAAAGACTTTATATCTCTTTTTAGTTCACTGTGATCTCGACTGCCATTAACTCTGTTCTATAAGATATACAATACAATACAACTTTATTTGTATAGCACATTTAAAAGACCAGTGGTACACCAAAGTGCTTTACAATAAAAACAGGAAAATTAAGATTATAAATAAAAGACTATTAACAAGGTACCACATATGTCATCAGGTTAAGGGCACTAATTATACAACAATAAAAGGGAATATAAGAACAAAGTTACTAAGAACAGATATAGCTAAAAGATAAAGTACATAAATAAGAAATTGAACCAAACATAAAACAGGGACGCTAACTAGATGGAAAAGCGATGTTGAATAAATGAGTTTTTAAACGGGATTTAAAAGATAAAACGGAGGCTGACGTACGGATAGCGATAGGAAGGTTGTTCCACAGATTCGGTGCAACCAGGGCAAAAGCACGGTCACCCCTAGATTTAAGTCTAGATCTAGGCTGAGCCAGGAGTAATTGGGCTGAAGACCTGAGGGCTCGCCCAGGGACATATAGGCTAAGAAGATCTGCAAGATAACGAGGGGCTAAATTATTTATAATTTATAATATTTCCATGTATATTCTGTTATTTATAATAGACTTGTTTGAATAAAAATAGCTGCAGTGGCTCGTGTACAGTAAGAAGTAGAGGTATCACTGTAACTGAGGACTTGCTGTTAAAAATAGCTTGACCGTTGCCTGCAAGTGTTGAGCCAAGGAGGACAGGCTGTCTCGAGAAACCTAAAAAGGTCTCATAATGCTTTGAGCGTCAGGATCTGCCGGAAATGACTGAAAACTTCTTCCTGACTTTTGCACAGATCAATATTTTTGATGGTTAAAGGGGAGATCCTTCATACCACATACTTTTAGAAAAAATGTTAGACTTACCGACAATAATAAGAAGAGAGGCACTCTGGTATTTCAGAGCTATTTTTCTGATTTTCAAAATGAACCTTTGTGTGGAACAATTTCTAAACCCTGTCACCATTTACTGTTTCATTGTTCCAACTCTTTCTCATCTTTAATATTCCATTAAAAAAAATATATATATATATATATATATATATAAATGTTTCCCATATTATAAAGACAGGGGATAAAACTTGCCTCCAGAATAATTCATTAAACCTTGTGGTACAGGTGCACACGCTTCATCTACAAAGTGCAGAATGAGAAGGAAATTTGGGGGTAAATGCTATATATAGTTTTAAGTGCATCCATACATGGGGTGGAAGGGGAACAGCATTCCTCCAGTGAGAGGGTAATATTTTTGTTGCCATCAGCAAGTGCTTCCCAAGCGGCATCAGGCTGGTCTGCCACCTCTTTGCGCTGTTTAAATTTCTTGGGGTAAGTCTCTTTTGTTAATATTTGCTAGCTGGTGTGCTAAGTTTTTGCTAACTTTTTTCAAAATGAGCTTCACATTAGGAAGAGGATTTATCTGCTGCCAATCCTGGGGCAGGTGAAATGTGTTGCATAAATAAATGGCAGCAGATAATCTGTCTCCTGTGTGGGGGGAAAATGAAGCAGCGGTCTGTAATCTCCCTGAGCTGTACTTCCTTTCATACCAGGGTATTAAGAGGTTGCTGACCCTCTTTTCTTAATTTGCGTCAGCCAAAAAAGGACGATATTGTGCTGAAATAATTATTTATACAGAACGGAAGCACAATTAGCCTGCAGCAGAGTGTGGATATGACAGCTGGCTTAGATCTAAATCTTGTTCCTGTACAGTCTGATCACTCTGATTTCCTGCGCAATCGTTTTAATTAAATAGTGTGAGGACTGTGCTCTTCTGGTAATCACACTGTTTCCTTCATTTCTCCAATAATGGAATAGGCAGACTGGTGAAAGCTATTCATAGCTGAGCTGTGTGAGGCTGTTAGAGGAAGCGGTTGAAGTGCTGAGCTCGAGCAAAAAGTTGGAACTGCCATGCTGTCTCGTAAATGTTTGCGTTTAAACATTGTTTAGGTCTATTAGAGATTCGGGTGTGGGTATTTTTGTCATGTGTTGTATAAATCCTACAACAGAAGAGCAGAAACTGCACCTGTTAACCTTTGCACACTGTTGATTTCAGAGATGACAGCACATCTAATACTTTAAACTTACATCACAGAATGGTTGCAGTAACAGTGGTGGTAAAGAAAATACTTGTATTGACATTTCTAACATGGCTAACACATGTTTGGTCTCCCCCTCCCACTGGTACTCTTGACCAGGACTCCTTGAAGTGTTCCAGTCATGGCTTCCAAAGTCATACCTTGGTATAAGAAGAAGCATGTGAGCCAAGTCAAAACTGATTATGCTTATCATCACACTAAACACGTTTCCAAGCAGCACACAGAAAGGTATGACAGTGACATTTACCTGCTGATTTGAGTAGCACAGCTCTTGCTGCTTTGCGACGTAGAACAAAAAACACACACGGGGGTGTTGCTGAGGAGCAGCTGCGCTAGTGGGTGTGTCTGCTTCCTAGCTGGCAGCTTATTTGTCATGTCAAATTCTGATTTTCATGAACAAATCAGCCAGTCACAGAGTGGCACATGCTAACTGACTGAATACGTTAGTTCTGTTTATCGTTTTCCACAGGAATATATTTTCATCCCTCTTTATTATAGCTTCAGTTTGTTTCTTTGTAAAACCTCAAAGTATCACCAGTGATTCTAAAGCTCTTTGTCTATGTGAGCTCCAGAATCTCTGAGAGCTGAACCCAAGTCGGGATTTCAGGAAGTGCTATTGCTTCTGTTGCTCTGCAGCTTCTGCCAACAGATCTTATAGTTCAGGCCAATGACAGACATGTATGCATTTGTCTTTGTTGCTATAGCATGCTTTTTAAAAAGGTTTTCTGGCCCTTACAGCTGTGCTGTGCAGTATAGTCATACTTAACATGATATTATACATGCTGAAGATTGGCTTTTTCGTCACTAGTGGTGAGGTAATAAACTGAGCGCCTACGAGCCAAGTTCTGATCTCCCAGTGATCTGGTAGGAAACTGCAGCTGTCTGATGGCAGATGACTAATGTCACCACTTGAACCTGACCTACATCTGAGGCTACTAACTATACACAGTTGTGTTGGTACTGAAGAAGTTTCTCTCAAAGTGGTGGTTAAAAATAATCAAAATAATTTTCTGGATAAAATCATAGTTTGTTGTGCAAATGACACTAGCCACTGTCAGATTTTTCACAATAGTGGTTGTGGTATGCATGTAGAGAATAATATCCATCAATCAGTTTTCTTAACCCCAGCTAAAAACAGATTTAATCCCTCTGTGGCGTATACAATACATCAGGCAGATATGCTGGGAAGTCTTGTAACTGCATGTTTGTAACTGTTAGTTATTGTTTACTGCGAGTGTTTGTGTTTTTATGTATGTGTATGTTCAGAAGACGAACTCAGCTTAGCTGCTAAATTAAAACCTGAGACTTTTTTTATGCAGAGAACTTGCTTCCTGATTTTTAATGATGTGTTTTCCTCAACAGCAGATCAAGCTCTAAATCGGTGAGCCAGGCACAGGCCCAGGCCACGGAGGCTATGGCAGAACAAGCCTATACCGTGCCGGTGTTCCGGCAGAGGTGAGTCTGCTCTGGCTCGCAGCTATTTCAGTCGCAAGGTAACATGCAGCTACATTTTCTACTGGCTGACCCCTGTAACCACAGCACATTTCTTTAGTATAACTTGATAATTATTCAATGATTAACGTTTAAATTACGAAACAATTGCACAGCCTTACTATCCTATAGACTCATAACACTGATTCCCTGCCCTCAAGGTTACTTTTATCCTGTGTTATGCTTGATATGCTCAGTGCAACGGTTTCAGGTTGTGTCATACAATTATTTTAGGGTAACAGTTCAGCTTGTAGGTAAATACGTAACAAACGTATAGCTAACAATGATGCTAAAGTCAATCTTAGTCAAAGATTAATGTGATGTATGCATTGTTAGGACTTCTGGGGAGACTGAGGAGTACCAGAGAGTAAGCAAAAATGTTGGGAAAGGACTGGCTGTTATTCAGGAGGAGCTTCATAGGATGAGGATCGCTACTAAGGCCCAAGTGGAAAGTCTTGAAATTCAGAAAGAGGTTAGTAACCATCTGCTCAACAACTCGAGGTGACACTGTAGTTCCTTTGTTGGTTTGTTTTTCTGGTGTTTTATCACATATATGTGGAACAAGTTTAAAAGTCTGTGGAAATGTTATGTGTACGCTTTAATGTATCTGCCTCTGTTACAATCACTATTAAAATTATATCAATATGTAATCATGGGTACAGCAAAACAGCAGATCTAGAGTCTCTAAATGTAATCTAAATCATTCAGCTGTGCATTTCTATGAAATCTGAGCCCAATGGTCTTATTGCATCAGTGAACTGTTGGTCAAATCAGTCTCAGTCTCTTTTAAAGGAATAAACCAACTTTTTTAGGAGTTTTCACAATATGATCACTAACATCTGCTGGCCTCATGTTCCTTCCTTGGCTTTGGCAGGTTTCAGATTTGCTGTTAGCTAAGAATTGTTGACAAAGATAACATGTTGTACTAAAGTGCTCATGTAATCTCTGCCCTATAGAGATAATGCATAAAAATGTCATTTTCATAAATACATTAACTTGATGCAGTTGACTCTCTCCAGGTTAAGGGGATGATGAGAAAGAGAGTGTATCTGTTGGAGGAAATCCCCAAATTGCCAGACTTCTTGGTGGCCTTACGGCCGCATACTGTGTGGGAGAAGACTCCCGTCAAGCTGTTCTGCACCGTCGAAGGAAATCCAAGGCCCATCGTCAAATGGTCAGTATACTGCCATCGCACACACGCGGGTTATTAAATGTGACTCCAGCTTTATGGTAATACCATTATAAGCCTTTCTGATTTGAAATATTTTAGGATTGTAGAATATCACTGTGGTGTGAAACTGATTCAGATTCATTGGCAGGTATAAAGATGGAGTGCCAGTAGATCCACTGAGTGCCCCGGGAAAGTACAAGATTGAGAATAAATATGGAGTCCATAGTTTGATTGTTAGCAGGTATGTATTATCTACAACTCTCAGCAGTTAGACATAAATGATTTCATTAAACGGAGTTTTATAACATGGACGCTGCAGCCTTTGATTTTCTTTTTACCTGAAGGTAAAAAGAAAAAAGTCACGTTGTTCAGTAAATTAGAGAAGTAAAATTAAAATGAAGTTATTAATTAATTAATGTATTGGTAATGCATTAGCATCTCTGAAATATTCATACGAATTTAGTAAAGACTTCCACTATCAGTGAGCTAACTTTTTCCAGGTGCAGGTTGATTGTCCGTCTCAGAATCCTCCGACACTGTTTTGAGCCACAGTGTGGTTGTAACCAAGTGTGCTAGTTACTAGTTACTGTTGTCATTGTCATCTTTTTGTGCATGTGGTGGTCAGCATTAAACTGTAACAGTGATGTGTATCATCAATAACATATATAAATTATTTAATTAAAAAATGTAAAATTGTTAAAATGTAGTTATTCTGTAGACTATAGAATAAGACTGTAAATGTACAGTAATGAGGTAAAAGCCAATATGTTGTTTCCTTAGACTAACCTAAACTAATGTTAGGGCGACAGGAAGTGATATAATACAATCTTGAATATACAGTACTGTGTAAATGTCTTCAGCCACTTTATATTCCTTAGTTTACAGAGTCAGACTTTCTTTCTTCTCCTCACTCATTTTCAGTCATACGTGACTTTAAGCTCACAATTTTTTGTTTGTTTGTTGTTCCGCTTAACACTGACCTACAAATCATTCAAGCACAAAAAAGCATCACCTAACTGTTATGTGTCTACACATAACAGATAAATTGCACCAACAAGATAAGGCCCAAAGAGCTATTAACTGTTGTCATATTGCTGCATGGTTGGTAATATGTCCTTAAAAAATCTGGGAAAAGTAGACAAGTGGAGGACAAAAGAAATGTCTGACATTACAAAACATCTACAGCAGTTGAAGATTATCTGAAAGTCACGCCCAGTAAAAATCAATTAAAACTGTGACACAGGACCTGAGAGATCTGGCTCTACTATTCAACAAAGCCTCAGCCTAAATGGTCTAAGATGAATGGTGGCTGCCAAGAAGCCATTCGAAAGGAAGTGAAACAGGGAGAAAAGGCTGAGGTGGTGTATAAACTGCACAAGAACTGCAATAAAAATTAGTATAACCTGCTCTGATTGGCCAATGAATCCAAATAGGACATTTTTGGTTCAAATGATCATCAGTCTATAGCTGTCTATAAAGCATGATGGAGGCTCTGTTATCGTTTGAGGCTGCAGTTCAACCATTTTGCCTCGTGTGCTGTATTTCCCTGTATGTTTACATGTTTCTATAAATCTCTGCATCTGCTTCCGATTCTCCAAAACATAAAGAGGTGAGGGTTGTTTAAGACTTTAATGAATTTATCAACCGAGTGAAAATTTCTAGCATTTAAGCAACAAAAAGACTTCCAGCTCCAGCTTTCAGGATTTAGTTTTTCTTCCCTGCATGGACTATATATGTTTTGGGGGTTTTGTAAACTTTTTTTTCATTTTAAATTAAAAAAAAAAAATGTCCCATTAAAAGTTTAGTGTAAATATGTTTTATGAGGTTTGTTGAAAAGACAATATTTTTATATAGTCAAGCAATTTTTCTAGTTGCTGTATTATAACCAACCAAACTGAAAGGAAAGCATAGAAAGGAAAGCATAGAAACAAACTGGGAAAGACTGAACGTCTGTCACTCATGCTCAGCGTAGATGTTTACACTTACAGGACTTTTATTTTGTTAGCACATTATATCGATATCTTGACATTTTCTGAGAGTCAGCTGGAGAGTTAGAGGGGAGATTGCTAAATTGAGGGTGAGGCTGCAGCCTGCTTCTTTTCGTCATCTTCAAGACCCCTCAGCTGTTCGTGTCGGAGTGCTGACCTTTGCGTCATTCGAGCCATGAATTCCTCTGACTGCGCTCCGCTTCTCTCTGTCCCTCCCTCTCTCTGAGAATTGGAATATCTCAGGACCGTCGTTGCATTGAAGGTCACTGAGAACATCGTAGTTTATTTGCCAAACTTCTTCAGAATCAGTCATTTTCACATTCTTTATGCAAAAAGCACCAAGTGACAAGAAGGATGCATCTATGTCCAGCACAGCTGGGAAAATGGATCTTTTAAAATAGTTCAGCTCAGGCTGAAGGTCAAATTTCTTCCTTCTATTCTAAACCTGAGACTCTTCTTGAGTCTCAACACAATTGCTTGCATTTTACCTTCTATTAACCTGAATAGAAAACATGTTCTTCAAACCAAACGGCATCAAATCAAATATAAATGTTGATATACTGCAATCAGTGACGTGTTCCTACTCTGGCTGACCTTGTAGGTGTGTTGTGAGTGATACTGCTGAGTACAGTGCTGTGGCAACCAACCAGCATGGCACAGCTACCAGCAAAGCTAAAATTATTGTGAAGAGTAAGTCTCCCTCTTTCTTAAAGACATTGCTCACCTCCCATGTCTTTCTCTGTAAACATAAACGTCTTTTCTTCACAGGACCAGCTGGAGCCGGAGAGTCCTGCCACCTTGGTTTAGGTGAGAGCATAAAGGGAGTTAGTAAGACTGGGGAGTCACGCCCAGACACAAGCTCGTGGAATCATGACACTTCAAATAGCAGCGCTATGAGAGGCCTGATAAGAAGTGGAAACTGATGGCAAGCTGTTCCTGTCCCGTGACTCCCTCTGAAGAAAAACAAAACACAGATCTGTCTTTGGTTGAGCAGCAAGCGATCGAAACATTTATGTACATGTTGGGATTTAAATAATGAGCAGTCCAGAAAATACTAACCTCCACAAGA